AAAGTATTGGTAATTATTTAGGCTTCTATAGTTTGCGGCGGTGTTTAGGCTTGGAGGGTTACGTGGCAGCCCATTGATTCGACTCCTCGATCGCCTGCGATCGTTTGTTCGAATACGATCCATACCGTAGCAATGCATCATGGCAGCAAGACGAGTGCGAGCAACAGTGGTGGACAAACGTGGCATCAGAAATCCCTTTTCAAACCAGCACATCCCGAAGCCTTGAAGCCTAAACCCCTCGGTCCATGGGCCCCCGCCGCTCCAGCCGCAGCATCCGCGTCCTGCACGAGTGGAGGCAGTCCCAAACAAACTACATTCAGGTGAGGTTCGATATTCTACGGTCATGGCCCTTAAAGACAGCCACAATCCAAGGACTTTTCAACCTGCGGGTTTTAGGGTTCAGGAGTGTGTTCCGGTCCTCGCTAGCCGGGGAGTCTTCACTTTTCAGGATTAGCCATCAGGAGTTTTCATGGTTGAGGACCCTGTCTCGCTCGGGGTTTATAGTTTCTAGCTCTTCCCGGCTGGGATTTCTTGTCAAGGCCTTTGTCGGTATGCCTCAAACTCGGGATTTGGGCTCAGGGTGCAGGTATGAGGGGTTCAGGGATTAGGGTTTCGGGTTTGGGGTGCAGGGTTTCGGGCTTAGGATCTGCTCATCGACAAAGAAAGCAACACCACTGCACGGCTGCGGCCACTTTGGGCGATCTCCCAATTCAAGTTCAGGGGAGGGGTTAGGATTGGGTTTCTGCAAGGGCCCCATAAGAATTCCTATATGAGGGAGCCAAACAGGAAACCCTAAACCCTAAACCCTGGTTCTACCAGCGCCTGGGGGGGTGTGGACGGGTTTTGGCTTGCTGGCTGCCGCCTTAGGGGCTTTGGCGTTCAAGGTCTTCGGCAACATTGGGTTCAGTAAACCCGAAACCCTAAGCCCTCGACCCGGAAACCCATAAACCCGAGACTCTACACCCCTAAACCCCTAAACCCTAGACCCCTAAACCCGAAACCCTAGACCCACCCCTAAACCCCTAAACTCGAAACCTTAAACCCCTATACCCCAACCCTCGACCCTCGACTCCTAAACCTTAAACCCCTATGGTGCCCCCTCGAGTCTCTCTGAATTAGGTCGGCCGACATCCCAAAGGCCGTGAAGTTTAGGGCTTCTCATGAGTTTGGGCTTCTCATGGGTTTGGGCTTCATGGGTTTAGGGCTTACGGCTTCATGGGTTTAGGGCGTAGGGCTTCATGGGCTTAGGGCTTGATGGACTTAGGGTTTTGGGTTTCGGGTAGATGGGCTTCAGCGAAAAAAGCAGGTGCTACAAGACTTAGAAGCACTTGCAAGAAACCCTTCGATTGAATGCCATATGGGTAGTTCTCTCAACTAGGGTTCCTGTTGAGGTCCCCAAAATAATACGGCACCCATATAAACAGGACCCTAAAAGGGACCCTTGTTGAGAAAACTCCCCATATCCTGGCGACCCTGAGCCCCTCCTGAGTGGGCGTCTCGTCGTCCATGCTGCTCCTTATGCACAGCGCCTAACCTGCCTAAACCCTAAACCCTAAACACTGAACCCTAAACCCATAAATCTTAAATCCTAAACCCCTAAACCCTAAACGTTCGGGCTTCACATCAATTCCAGAAATGGGGTGCTGGGTTGGGGACGAGGGACCTCTGGTTTAGGGTTTAGGGTTTAGGGCTGTTTTTTTGAGGGCCTTTTTGGTGTCCGCCTTGCAACGTCTCCCAAACTTGTAGGGTTTATGTAGGGTTTACGTTCCTTCGGCAAGTCATCATCCTAAAACGGGTGGCGGTTGACTTGGGATGTCAGTGTCAGGATTTCATTATGTCGACGTTGTGAGTGGAAACCTCCGCCGGAAGGAACTAGTATAGTATAGTGTGTAATATAATAGAATAGACTATAATATGATATAATAATATATTATATTCATATAATATACCCTGAACCCTGAACCCTGAACCCTAAACCCTAAACCCTGAACCCCAAACCCTCAACCCTGAACCCTAAACCTAAACTTCCCTAAACTCTGAAACAACAGACCTGCCATCAAAAATGGGCCTCGATCGGGCTCGGCCGAGCCGATCGTCCTCACTTCCGACCCTGAAAGCTGATATAAAGCTGTTATTGTAGGAGCCTTAATTGTTGCAATAGGGTTTGGGGCTCCTTTGTATTATGATCATAATCAGGAGCCCTATGGAATATTTCGGCTTCTATAGTAGCCTCAGAAGGCTTGGCTCTCAGTGCACAACACAGTAGCCTCCTGAAGCGAAGCTTGCTCCAAAACCGAGTCATGAAACCCTGAGCCCCGAACCATCCCGTAACCCTGAAGCCCAAACCCTCAACCCTCCTCTTACTTCAAGTAAAATTCAACAGCTATGCCTTCAGGCTTGCTGGTCACACACTGAGAGCCAGGGTGACAATCCCCACGCCACATGAAGCCCTGGAACGTAGAAAACTTCTTACGCTTCCACCCCGGCACCAAGCCCTCCAACTTCCCCACAAGACTCAGCTGCAAAGTTCAGCTGCCTGACTTCCAAAAAACCCGGATCTTGAGTCCTGAGGTATACCCTAAACCCTAAACCCTAAACCCCCAAAGCCCTAATACCGTATTGGGCTATGAAGATCCCGGCTTCGCGAAGGAATACTGCACTAATGGTACCGACCCTTCAGCCTCCGACGGTCCGACCCGCACAAAAAGCAAAAGAAGCAGGATCCAAGAACCCAAGCAAGGTTTTTGTTTTTTGAGCCCCTTTTTCCACCCATAGCATCCATGCCATAGTCAGAAGGTCCCAAGAAAGGTTTGGGGTTTAGGGCAAATGAAGCTGAAACTGCACCCCTGGACCCCAGAAGGCCCCAAGAAAAGAGAGACTTCAACCCACCAAAACCACAGACCTCTACACCTCCAGCCATACAACCCTCAAAGACGTTGCCCTGTATATCTGTGTCTTACTACTGTTGCTTACTAAGCCTTCTCCCGTCAACCGAAGCGGCTTGAAGCCGCGCTGCATCTATATTGGGCTGCCAGAGTATACTTAGGTCGGATTTAGGTCTGAGGGTTTAGGGTGAGGGTTTAGCACTGAGGGCTGAGGATTGAGGGTTTAGGGTTTAAGGTTGAGGGTGTAGGGCTTAGGGTTGAGGGTTTAGGGCTTAGGGTTGAGGGTTTAGGGCTTAGGGTTGAGGGTTTAGGGCTTGGGGTCCCGAAGACACTAACCTTCGATGTGGGCAACTGGGCTCCGACAGTCACACAGCCCTCGGCTTTTCAGCACAGCCACCCCACATGGACGGCCGCACCACCGAGGACTCCTTCCGCCCTGCTGGCATCTGCACCTTTTGCTTTACCGGGTTTTCGATTGTGAACGCTTAGACTAGGGTTTCGGGGGCCGCATAAACATGCTACACAGGGACTGTAAGGTGATGCTTAGTGTTTAGTGCCAATCGTTCAGCTTAGGCCTGCAGGTCAAGGGCGCAGTGGAGCGCTCCGCATGATCAGAACAAGGTTGCGGGGTACTTTATACTATGCGTGCAAAATAGACAATCAGGTGGAATTGTTGCTGATTATCACTTTAACCTTTATATATGGGGTGTATATGTATATATACATACATACCTTTGTCAATAAAAATATACAAGGAATTCGGGGTGAAGGGCTGCCAGGCTCACTTTGAGCGGGCTTTGGGCCCCAAGGGTTTAGGGTTTAAGGTTTAGGGTTTAGGGTCTGCGGATTGGGGATTTGGGTTTAGGCTTTAGGGCTTAGGGCTTGGGGCTAAGGCCGTGTGTTGCGTCTCGGGGCTGAGCCTTAGTCACTTAAAGGACCATGGGGCTTAGCAAATAGGATAACAAATAAGAGGTAACTATGGTTCTGATAACCTCTAACCCCAATTCAGGTATTCATCACCTCACTTAGCAAGTCCCCTGATCCTGCATTTGGGAGTTTCGGACTGTAAGTGACCCTAACGCAGACTCCAAGCAAGCGGGTCCATAGTAACAAAAAAGGATGCCAAAACACTACACACCTAAACTAAGAACCCGCCATGTTAGGGGCCTTCATAGTTTGGCAGGAGTTTTGGGTTGTAGTTTGCTATGATTATATTGGACCCTGCAAGTGACAGAATGTTAGAATGATTCCGGCCCTATAGTACCCCCGATGCTGCCCCATAAAGTAACCCCTACAGCAACCCTTACAACTTAGTAGCCTGGATTTTGACCCTAAACCCGAAACCCTAAACCCTCAACCCTAAACCCTAAACCCTGGTAGTTCCGTCCCAGTTTTGTGGAGTTCTTGGAGCCCGGGCCCCGTGTTCCCCGCAGCTGCGCAGCATCGGCCATGGTCGAAGAGTCCCCACTGGGCGCCTGCGGTCCCGAAAAATCTCTGAGTTCATGATATCAGAAACAGAAACCGTAATAAAGATAATACAGATAGTAGTAGTAGTAGTAGTAGTAGTAGTAGTAGTAGCAGTAGTAGTAGTAGTAGTAGTAGTAGTAGTAGTAGTACTAGTAGTACTACTAGTAGTAGTAGTACTAGTAGTAGAAGTAGTAGTAGTAGTAGTAGTAGTAGTAGTATTAGTAGAAATGGTAATAGTAATAGCTACGAGAATAGCAATGAAAGCAATAGCAATATAAGACAACAGTTTAGAGTTTGGGATATGAGGGTTCAGGATTTAGGATTTTCAAGGTTTCAGAGACAAGAATACACCATAGCCTTTAGCATTTGGGAATGGGAACTGTGATCTAGGGTTCAGGCAACGTTTACGGCTCGGGGCTGAGACTTCGCGGCACCAAACACGACCCCAAAAACCGAAAAGTTCTGGCAAAGACGTCATCTCCCGAAATCCCTGAAAATACTGACTACCCGAGGCTGTAGAGAGGACTGGACGGGTTCAAAGGTCTAGGGGATTCGCCCTTAAGACTGCCTCTCTTTTCTCCTAGGGCCATTCGCATGTTTACTTGGTTATGTTATGCCTAAGGCTTCACATTGATTGCACCCTGGCAAAGAACCCTGAACCCTGAACCATAAGAACCGTCCCTCATCCCGAAACCCTCAACTGGGCTTTGAAGTAACCAGGGGAAAAAAGTATAGACTTTTATTTCATAATGGCCCCTTTAAGGAACAGGTCTAAAAAAAGTATTAAACTGGGTTGTAGTTTGGGGGCCCTGAAAAGTATTTATGAATAGGTACCTCTATAGAAACCATAAGGGAAATTTTAAAGTTTCCCAAATTGCCACCTAGTAAAGTATGGTACTCCAAAGCCCCGTCAACGCTACACGCGAGACCCCGCAGTGCCACCGCATGTCCCAGGAGTGCCCCCGAGCTCCGGTCTTGCTGTCGAGGTCCCCATGACAAAGACGCTATTCAAGGTGTATGGTTTAGGGTTTAGGGTTTAGGGTTTAGGGTTTAGGGTTTAGGGGTTAGGGGTTTAGGGTTTAGGGTTTAGGGTTTAGGGGTTTAGGGTTTAGTTTCCCTACGCCCCAAGCTCCAAACTCCAAAGGAGGACGACGAGGACAACCACCACCACCGCCGCCACCGCCACCACCACCACCACCACCACCATCGTCACCATCACCGTTCCATCACCATCACCACCGCATTTGGCCGTCATGAGCAAATACCATGGACTCGCCCATGGCTTTGGCACATGCTACTGCATAAAAACCCTCATCAAGAAGCAACCCAGCAGCTTTTTGTCCCTCTTCGGCCAAAGCCACAACCTGCCTTTGGCATGGGCCATGGCAGTAACCGAACGCTCCTCAGGCCCAAGACGCCTGAGTGACATCTGTAACCGTAGAGCTGAACATTTTCACGATGGCGTACTATGGCACAGCAGAGTCTTTCAGTCGATGATGGGAAGTACAAATTGCGCCACCACGTACATACTACAAGTCTACTTTCAGTTCTGTCTTGCTCCAGGGTACTGAGCTCTCGTGGCCTTACTTAAAGGATCATGGGACTTAGTAAGTAGGGATATAATTAGGGTAACCATACTTATAACCCCAATTAAGGGATTTATAACCTTACTTACTAAGTCCCATGATCCTCCAAGTAGTCGGGAATACACAGGCTGATGTTCTCTTACAAAGGTCCCCTAAACCCTAAACCCTAAACCCTAAACCCAACATACGGCTTTGGTAACACAAAGGTCTGTGGGGTGAGGAAGAGGATTCTGGCTCGAGGGGTGCAGGGTCTGCAGATTTCGCGGGATATTTTCCGGGACTCAAGCCTTGGACATTAGACTGGGGCCTTGGAGAGCTTGATTGCTGTAGCTAAACGTAGGAAAATTACTAGACTCTGGCTTTGGGGAGCTTGAGTGCTATAGCTATACTTAGGAACCCAAGGAATAGTGCTCATACTCGTAATGATTCAGTCTCCTGCAGTATGGCTGTCGCTCCACGGGCACTCAAACTTGGATAAATGCACGCTGGAAGAACGCCCCGGTCAGACACCAGAAAGGTTTGCCCCGGAGTGGTTTGGCGTTGATGCGGCCTCAACCCTCAATTTCTTAGCTTCTTGAGCCCTAAACCCTAAGCGCCCACATTAGGATTTCGGGCATCAGGGCTTGGATGTTGAATGCCTCAGTGAAAAGCAAAATATTTGTCTGTTGGGCTAAACACTCCTGGGGTGGTTATTTGTCTGGGTACCCGAAACGCTGAACCTGCGCGAGCAACAGAGCCAAACTACTCCAGCGGCGCATACATTGCCGCTTGCTCCGTGCTTCTCTCCGGAGGGAGGGCTGGGCCCGAACACTGAAACTAGGTGAGGGTTTCCGAAAATAGGGGACCCTAATATGGTACCCTAAATAATAGGATCCTTATTATAAGGACCCCCAAATAAGGTACCCTAATGTTCGGAAACTCCAGGTCTCAAACCCTCAAGCCAAAGATAGAGGAGGGCCTTAACAATGAAAGCGGATATTATTGGAAATTCTTCCGACCCCTATACGAACCCCCTAGACCCCAAACCCATCCCTTGTCAGGACACGGAGCAAGCAAGAAAACCGGCCATGCACCGGTCAGACCCCTGACCTCTTTTGCTCTGCAAACATCGTACTACAGGGACCTTGAGCATGTGAATAGGCTTCTACAAGGCCTGCTAGATGGTTGTTTTAGAAAGAATCATAAGAGGTTTATAGGATTTTATATAGGGGCCTTAAGAAATAAAATATTTTGGCATAGCATATACCAACAGCATGCTGACATAGAGGATGTGATGGCTGCTTGTTGGGAGCTTTAAGCACTTGCTTGGGGGGTACGAACTATTTGTGGTTCTTAAAAGGGGTTCTAGAGGACTACAAGATTATAGGGTTTGGAGCGATATGGCCTTAGGGTTTAGGGTCTTTCGGTGTCTAAGGAGTCAGGGTGTTGGGTTTGCGAGATTTGTTGGCGTTCATATCGATGTTTCAATGTTGGGACTACGGTCTACGTCTGGGTCTGGGTCTCGGGTTCGACGGTTCAGGGCTTCAGGGCGAAGGCAGGGTTTAGGGTTGAGGGTTTGGGGTTTAGGGTTTAGGGTTTAGGGTTTAAGGGAATTAGGGTGTCGCAAAGTCTAGGCAGCAAAACCATCACAGGAGATTTTGGCAAGCACACCCCAAACCCCCTAACGGATAGGGAGATGTTAATGAGCAAACCCCGACCCCTACAGAGAGATGTTGGTGAACAAGCCCCAAAGCCCTAACAGGAGATGTTGTTGAGCAAACCCCGAACCCTAGAAGGAGATGGGACCAGGGTTCAGGATGTTCTGACTTACGGTTCAAGACAAAAGGCTCGGAGGACAACTTCGCGGTCGGAGGTCAGGTCCATAAGCATGTACAGCGCTGCCAGAGGCCCATGCATTTCTGAGCTACCCTGACAGGAGTTCTTCGTAGACATCAAAGCTCCTGGAAGGGATCTTCGTGGCGCACCCATACCAAACCCTAGATCTGCAACCCGCCAGTCTGGAATCTACGCCCACCATTCGCAATGAGAGAGAACCACAGATTCGAGAACCCTAAACCCTAAACCCTAAACCCCAAAGCCTAACCCCCGTCGCCAGGATTCGATGCCTTCTCACAGGGCCAGAGCCGCGACGCCCCACGGAACCCTGAAGTCACACGTCGATGCTGTCGTCAAACCTGTTTCGCGGTTTTTCCCGGTCACAAGAAAAGAGGGTTTAGGGCTTAGGGCTTAGGGGCCTAGACCCTAAACCCGAAGCCCTGAACCCTAAACCCTAAACCCTGAACCCTACACCCTAGACCCTGAACTTAAACCCAAAGCCCTGAAGCCCTAAACCCTGATTTAGAATTGCAGCAACCAGAGGGTTCCTGCCGGATAAAGTCAAGAGACTGCTCGGTGTCTTTATTCACTTCCTCCGGGAAAATCTTCGCCAGGAGCTCGAAGCCGTCCACACTCCCACTGTTGTCCCGGTCGACCTTCAAGAGGGTAGTTCTCCAAGTTAGGGTTTAGGGCTTAGGGCTTAGGGTTTAGGGTTTAGGGCTGGGTCCTTTCTATAAGGGTGCCGCCTTCTTTTGGGTTCCTGAAACGGGACCCTAGTCTTAGAGAACTACCCAAGAGCGAGAGCCCGGTCACCAGGTCCTGCTCCGAATGTTCCTTTAGGGCCGTGAGAAGACGGTCAAGATCATGCCATGACAGATCTTTAAGCCGCATCTTCAGGAACACTCCGGAAATCAATCTAAAACAACAAAGCCCTTCTGAAACTTGCTGCATATTCTTGGTTCAGGAAGCACCTAAGCTAATAGAGAAGCCTGAATAAGCGCCAATACTATTCCGCAGACGGGGTAGCGGGGCCTAGCATTTTAAGCCTGAGAACAGGCTTCCGGTGCAAAGCCGCAGCTGAGCATACGGTTTTACGCCGTCGATATTTTCGGATTTCGGGCTAAGGGCTATGGATTTAGGATTAAGGGTTTCGGGTTAAGGGTTCAACACCACCGTGGTGGATAACAGTGAACCCCGGACCCAACACCCGAAGTCCTAAACCTCGACACCTGAGGCCGCAAAGCCTCGACGCTGAAACCCAAATCCTCATCCCCAAACCCTCTAAACCTCAAACTTCACCGTAACCCTGCTAATGAGGGGCCTTAATATGCAGAATAAGGTTTTGGGTTATTTTATACTACAATTCTATTAAGGAACCCTAAAATAGTCTTGGTAATTATTTCGGCCCCTACATTACATGTTAGACGCCAAACCATGAGTCCTCTCTCCTCGACCGTGAAAAGCTAGCCCAAGGGTTTAGGGTTTAGGGTTTAGGGTTTAGGGTTTAGGGTTTAGGGTTTAGGGCAAGGTGCCATCATGAACAAGTCGACCAAACTTCTCTCATCCAGACCCAGTCGTAGCCTGGGCATGCGCTGGAGACTTCTCAG